CGTCAAGAAGACCCCCTTAGGGGTGGTGCGAAATGGGTCTGAGGGGATCCCTCCTCGAGGATCCCCCTCCCACTGTAACCCAAATAGGATATAGGGGCATCCCATCGCCATCTAGGTGCCCTCGCCGCCACCATCCTAAGATGGTACGCAGATGGTACACCGACCCTCCTCCATGAGGCTTCAAGTCCTTTGCATCACATGTTATGTCTCTAACATCCTCCCCTAGAATGGCATTTGTTGCCTGTCTTGATGGGAGTGCACATTCGCTCCTTTTACTAGTACTTAGTAATTTATGTACATCACACCTGTAGTACACGATAATCACTCTCAATATCATTGTTTTTACTACGAAGTACTTTACACAAGATCAAGATGAGGGCCTGGGTAGCGAGTACATTGTACACAAGATTGACAATACATCATGACGGTACCTGCGAAATGCATCAAGCCTGCATGGAGGGCCCGGCGTCGCCTCGTTGCTCGCCTTCATCGTTGTCGCGACTTGAGGTCAAGCGACAGGGGAATACCTAAAAGCAAGGGGCGTCCGACTGGTTCTCACCGAAGCGATGGTGAGCGAAGCTCAAACCTAAGGCTAGGGACAAGTTAATATATTAGTGAGGTAAGAAAAGGAATACAAAGGATGCTTACTGACCTAGGGACAAGAGGTCGAAACTGAGGTCCCTAGGGCAGCAGAGGCCGGCTTATATACATGGGGAGATTAGGGCAGGCTGTGCACGTTGGTCCGTGCGCAGCTGGTCTGTGCGCAGCATGCCGACGCGGCCCCGGGGGCCGGTGAGTCAGAGCGGCTGTGTCAGCGGAGCCCGAGCTGTGCCGTGCGCTGCCGCCCCATCTAATCTAATCGTACAGTAGATAGTGATGCGTCCATATCCGGCAGGTAGTACAGAGGTCGCGGGTTCGAGCCCGCGAAAAGGAAAAAATTAAAAAAGCGGCTAGGCGCCGTGTCAACTCGTGACAGTCGTGGCTCTGCACGCCGGCTGTCTGTGCGCCGGCTGTCCCAGGCATCCTACGAGCAGGCGGGGCAGCCGCCTCGAAGCCGGCGTATGGCATGCCTTGAGGCACGTCGGCGAATGCAGCTGCCTGGCCGAAATCCTCGTAGAAATGTGGGTGGACCCTCCCCGACGGGATGTAGGTGCCGTCGGGCGTCATGAGGCCGGGCGCGCGGAATTCGGGCGCGCGGAACTGAGGGGGCAGTGGGCGGTAATAGTGTCCTGCATCCCACGGGTCCATCACCTCGTAGCTGTCCAGAGTCTGGCTGTCGACTGGCCAGCCGCGCGGTGCGTACCGGGGGGCATGCGGGAGGGTTGGCCGCGGGCGCAGCGCGTATCCCGGTGGCGCGTATCCCGGTGGCGCGTCGTGCGCGTGTGCGAAGGGCGCCGGTGGAGGGAACATCCAATGGCCTAGCATGCCGCTAGCCCCGGCGGTGCTTGTGCTGTTGCCGTCCTCGTCGTCGTAGACTGCCAGCCGCTGGTGCAGGAGGGAGGGCGGGAGGGCAGCTGTGCCGCTGGATGGCGCTGGCGCGTGCGCATGCTTGCTGCGTCCCTCCTGTGGGCGGTGGAGCTCGGCCGGGGCGTCCTTGTCATGCTGGGCGGGAGCCTCCTGGTGATGCTCTTGGTCGTGGGGGCCCTCCGTGGGGGCGCCTTCTGTGGTGGCAGGGCGATGGCGGCGCTTGGGGGGCGCGTGCTCTGGCGAGCTTTCATCCTCGTGCAGATGCCGGGCGGGGCGCTGACGCTGGGCGGGAGCTTCTGTGGACGCGTCGCACAGCTCATTTGTGGTGGTATCCATAGCCCCGCCGCGCGTTCGGGCCCCTGCATGCACCGGGCGTGGTGCGGGGCGTTTGGCTGTCTGTGCCCTGGGCTTTTCGGGCATGCGAGGGGTCGACTGCTGCTCGACATCGCTCCCGCCCGCGCTCGCCTTGCTCCGCTTGGTGCTCCGTGCAGGGGCCTTGCCTTTGCTGGGACCCTTGCCCTTGCTTGGCTCCTTCTTGGTGCCGTCCTCGGGCTCGTCCTTGGTGTCGGACCCGTTGCGGAGCGCCTTCCGCTTGGCCCCTCGTGGCTTCACCGGGGTGGGGGTCCCCTCCGAAGGCTGGTAGGCGTCCTCGTCCTCGGAGTCCTCGGAGTCCTCGACGTTGATGGCTTTCCGCTTGTCCGCTCGCGGCTTCACCGGGGCGTCGTCGTCCTTGCTGTCGTCCACGTCGATTGGCTTGGATGCGGTGGTCGGCTGGCTCGTCCTCGACTTGCGGATCACGACCTCGACGACCCTCGACCTCGTTAGAGAGGCCTTGGGCGGAGGCGCCTGCACGGGTGACAACGCCGCCGAGGCCGTGTCCTTGCTCAGCTCATCGGTATCCGGCGACGAGCTCTCACCGTGCTCTCCTGACGAGGCAGGCGCCACACGCCTCGGGGGTCCCTTGCGGTCGCTTGTCCCGTTGGCGAAGTAGCGGCGCGCCCGCTTGAACGTGGCGTCGTGTGCCGGGGGTGTGCAGATGATGACCGGCAGCTTGTTCTTCTTCAGGGCTATGGAGGAAAGTAATCAGCGCACTGGCGGCGACAGGGAGCAGAACACGTAGATACTCACCTTCCTTGTCGACCCTCTCGAACTCGAAAGGGTAGTCCCTGTCCACCAGGCCCTCGATCATTCGGTCGAGTTCCAGCATGGACAGCTCCGCGATCCCTTTGGCCTTGTTGCGGCCACCGGTTTTTTCCTCGCCTGGCCAGCGCACGTCGTCAGGGTAGTTCTTCCACACGAGCCCTTGAGTAACCAAGAGCTCGGCATGGTGGTTCCAAGGGAACAGGTTGTTATACTTGCGCTCCCAAGGGCCACCGGCGGCCACTGGCTGATCGTCAGTGTGACGCCACTTCACTGAGAGGTGAGTTGCTTACCTTCCATCTCCCTCACGTTGAACCTGATGACGCCCGCCTTGTCTGTCGACGAGAGCTTCTTCCTCCAATCCGGGTGCAGGAACTCGAGGCCGAACTTGCGCCTGTCTAAGTCCTTTTGTGACTTGATGGTGCCCTCGTTGGAGGACGCGCCAGCCTGCTTCGATGGTCCTGGGACCCGCGTGGATGCCTTGGATGGTCTGACGGCCTGCTCGGACGGCCCGGCATGTCGTTTTGAAGGTGCGCCGCCTGGATGGGACGACGCTGCAATGGCGGGGTCGCTGGGCTTGCT